TGGAAGTGGGCGGGGCTGGTGGAGTTTTGAAACCCATTTTCAGGATTTAGCGCATGAACTAGCAGGTGGGATTTGGGCTACGGTATAATTGGGGAGTCTACTGCCTAACTCACCAAAATCAAAAAGTCCATTTTGCCTGTCCACTGCCTTTAATGTGAGATAGTTCTGCTTCAACGAATTCATATCCAAAGATGGTACCCGGAAATAGTTCTCGTTCTCCAGATTTTCACCTTTTCGGAGACTTCTCGCAATAAAGTACCCACAGCGGGGCTTTTCATCGCATAAAAATTGAGAAAATGAGCCTTTTTCACGGATTTCCAGTTCCGCATTGAGTAAAAATGCGCCGAAAGTCTTTCGCGCCCGCCTCCCTTGTTTCGGACTCCGCTCACTTACATGTATTTTGCACTGAATGCGGACCTGAGAAGTTTCGAGAAAAGCTCATTTCCGCCATTTTCGTGCGTTGAAAAGCCCAGATATGGGTGCCTTACGGCGAGAAGCTCCGAAAAGGTGAAAAACTGGAAAACGAAATTCTGCGGGAACAATGCCTTTATAAACTCACTTTTTGGCTGCCCTTCATTTTTCTTCTGGTTTTGTTTGTTTTTATAGGAATTTTTACTTATCATTGAACTCTTGTAATCTTGTATTTTACGCTTTAGTTGTACTATGACGGTACTCACTACGTGGGAGAAAAACGTTTCGAAACCATGGAACTGCTCGTAGCAGATGGTTTGATCTCAATGTTCATGGATAAACATGCTTCAGATTACATAAAGCGAATGGCTGACGAAGCCATATATGAGCAAAGGTGTGACTTCTTATCTTCAACTCTTCAATCCCCTGCATTTTTTCTATTTTCCAGTCCTTACATGCAATATACGAAAAGCACGGAACGAAAAGCACCTGTAGCCAGATCGCATAGTTTTACACAACATACATTCAAAATGCCTCATTATTGCGATTACTGTAGGAACTTTATGTGGGGTTTAGTGCAGCAGGTAAGTGCAGTAAATGTGTTTGTGTTCCTTTAGCTGTGAGTTACATCTCGATATAATTGCGCCGTTGAAGGGAGTACGATGCGAGGACTGTGGCTTTGCTGCTCACAAACGATGCTCGGAGCATACGTTGCCTGATTGCCGACCTGAGGCCCGATATGTGAAGAGAATGTTTGCAGTGGATCTCACTACTTTATGCCTGGCACATTCAACACCGATACCACCAGTTGTGACCAAATGCATTCAAGAGGTAAGATCAAGCTTTTATGGACAAGTCGAGACGCAAGCTAAGCTTGTTTTTGCTTTTCCTTTCGCATTTATGCATATTTCTATTTTGAGGTAGAAGCTCGCGGACTCAACGTAGAGGGTATATATCGAGTGTCTGGGTCACACGACCACATGGAAAAATTGAAAAGGCAGTTTGATTCGCAACAAGCAGTGGACTT